ACCACTAACCATAGTTATTAAACCGACCTGATCCGACGGTTCAATCGGTCAATAGATTATTGAGTTGAGCTAGGATTTTAATTGAATCGTTTAAGTAATAGATCCGTTGACTTGTCAATGAATCAGTGGTTCAACCGGTCAACCTGATGAATTAGCCGATTTTGTAAGGAACTCAAGTCTAGCATGTTGTTGTGGAAAAAATTTTTAGAAGATGTTGGAATGGTGGATCAAACGGAAGACCTCATGTGTGCAAGCAAAGTGTAATCATCATTAGCCCACAGCACGTGTAGTAGCTAATCCTTCTTATATTATATATTAAACTTTTGTTCTTATTTTATTTCTCCAAAAAAAAAATTATTTGAAATCTTTCAATAAAATTTTATTATTCCCCGAACTTTATGAATTATGAAATGGATTTCAAAAATAACATATTACACAATTTATTTTAAAGACAAATATCATTTTGTAGACAAAGAAAATTTATTTAATTTATTTAGTCAAGATTTATTTAAATTAAATTGATCTTGATTAAATTAAATTAAATGATAAAAGTTCATTATGTTTTGAACTTGCAAATTGGGCCAGTATTATATGGGCTATTAAATCAAGTTAAAATTGTAATGCCCATTTAAGTTGAAGTGAATTAATTGATTTATTAATTCACAATGGACTATCTGGGTTGGCCCAATATTTAAGCCCAAGTTAAATGGATTTCTTGGGTAACAAGTGATCCAAAATGCAGGAAGATTCTGAGGGTTTTCTTGAAGACCTAGCCTACATATTTTGGCTATAAATAGAGGTCTTCCCTCAAGGCAAAGATATAGAAAAATCCCTAACATTCGGAGAAACTCTGTCAAATTCCCTCAAGAGCTTTCTTCCTCAAATCCAAGCCCAAATCAAGTCAAACAAATCCTCCTGCTATCGGTGTTGAAGACTCGAAGTTCCAAGTGTTTGACGCCATCATCAAATCAATCGTTTTCTACGCCGAAATTGTAGGAAACACCCTTTCGATTGGAGAACAAGTCTTTTCGGCCCTTCAATTGAAGCTATTCGAAGAAAAGAATCAGGGGATTAATTTCTTTGATTCAAGAATTTTCAGAGATTGTAGCCTACTTATTATTTAATTTAATAAATTTGATATTTGTGCAAGTTTTCTTGTCTTTTATTTTAGGCAACAAAATTTGTGCTTACACATTTCTAATAGCCTTTTGCACTTTTAGGAAGGCCATCGGTACTAGAAGCCTGTTAGACACTGTTGGGCATGTAACGGCACTTAAATTCTAATATTAGTTTTTCTCTTCTTTTTATCTTTTTAAGCACACGCATAATCATATTAACGTGCATACCCATATGTCTTTTAAATTCATAAGTTGCTTCATTTTTTTAATTAAACTATTTTTCTTATTTTTTATTTTTTTCTGAGCTGATTGCTAATCTTTGGTGCCTTGCTTGTGTAGACATTGGAGCTGATTGTGTACCAAGAGTTCGTTTAAGGAGCGAGTTCTTCAATGATCATTACAACTACTATCTTTGACTTGTAGTTGGTCCTTGTAATGGTTCAACTTCACCAAATCAGTTTTTGTATCTTGCAAGTTTATTCGAGCATGAGGAGTTCGGCTTCATGGGATATACCTCGCACCACTTTGAAAATCCTTATCTTTTGGATACAAGTGATAAGTTTTCAGATCCTTTTACACATACCGTCACTTGTTGTTTATTTTCCTGTGTTAAACCAGATTTGGTTGAGCATGCATTGAGGCTGGTTCGTGGGATTCAAGGTGCGAAAAGATGTCCTTTCAATCTTTGCAAGTGATGGTTTTTGCGTTGGATGAAATTTTTTATTGTGATCATCACAAGGTTGACCCGATGGCATGTAACTCCTCTTGTAACAATTCGTGTATCGATTTGTGGGCAAATTGCTTTCAAGAGGAGGGGAATGATACAGAATCTAGCTAGCAACGAAGCCATTCAAGTTGTTTGGAGAAAGTTTGATGTCACTTAATCATTTTCTTAAGTTAAAACTGAAGTTTGTTTTAGTGATGCTGTTTGTTCCCATTATTGCAAATCGTGAAGTTATTTCCAGCGTTTGATTAAGTCACTTGAGTCATTGATTTGGTTAAATAAATGGCTAAGGGCCATGTTGACCACAGTGAGCCGTGTTAGGGGTTAGTAGGATCGAATTAGGGTTAATTCTTAGTAGTTAATGTTTAATTAAGTGAGTTCTAGTGTGATTTGGAGTTTTGAATCTTGTAAAGGCTGTAAAGCCTTTTGTTTACTTTTGCTTATATATTATTTAGATGTATGTGTAACGAGCGTATTTATGATGTTTGGAATTGTAGTATTGCACAAGTCCAGCAAAGCCCAGCGTTCCGCGTTCAATTAATGGTCCTACTAAGGTGATTATTTAGTTTTTTTCCTTAATTTGTTTGGATTAAGTTGTGCGACTTTTTAAATTGTTTGGATTGACATGTGGTTTATATATTTGGAAGGCATATGATTGTGCTTCTGTTCTTTTATGTGTTCTTTTTCTTGATTTTTCTTGTCACTTTAGTGTTAGTGCTTCCATGCCTCCTAGAGAAGTTAATTTTCTATGTTTTTGTGTTTTCTAGAAATTGATAGCCCTTGAAATATTAAGTTCGCCTCATTCTCCAAATCTGAAAGCAATGGGGTGAGTTATAATGATCCTTATAATTTGTATATTGCCAATCTAACGACTAAATTATGTATGCTGAAGTATCCTAATATTTTGAATTACATTTTTTGATAGTGCGAGGGTAGGGATCTGATATTACCTTTTACAAAGGTAAGTCTTTGTCCTTTACCATATTATCTTTATCCTTATAATTTGGTTTGTCAAGTGCAATGGTCTAAAGTCTAATGGTCTAATCAAATGGTTTTTGTCGAACCTAATGGTTGTTGTCCGTGTAGTGGCTATGGGCTATGCACATCGCAGGGATAGGCGAGGCGTTGCAAAGGAAACAATGTGTTTTGTTACGACTTGCAATTAATTGCTAGCAATTGTAAATAGAATGATTGAATAAATCTACATGCCACAACAACATCAGTGGTTGTTAGTTACAATCCATGTTTTTAAATTCGGATCGAACTAATCGGTTGGACCGATTGAATCGAGAATCGGGCAGGCATTCGGTCCAAGTTGTCTTTAAAACTCGATTGGCCAAAACTCGGTCAAAATTGGGGTTCAACTGGGAACCGGTACAACCTCTGAAATCGGGCTTTTCCATTTTTCCTTTTCTTCTAAGCTTTTTTTACCCGCCTGTGAGTTCAATTCTCAGCAACATAGCTTTCTTCCAGTTCTTCCCACATATCATTAGCTGGCATGGACTCAATCAAAACCAGCCCTTATAATTAATTTTTAAATAAGATCTCATAGATCTCATGTCAATAAATGAAAAAAAAAAGACAAAGAAAATTGCAGAAAGGAGAAACATAAAGAAAAGAGAAATTAGAAAATAAAAAGATGAAAAGTTTGATATTTTCTGAGTTTGACAAGAAAAAACTAACAAAATCAAATTTGCAAAGGTAAAAAAAATCAAGAAAACGAAAAAATGAAATAGCCGTAGGATTGGCAATGAAAGGAAGATAACAAGATAAATGAAGTGGTTGCAGGCAGCGTGGAGACTTGAGGAACAGACAAAGAAATAGGAAGAATATTACTGGAGCGGAAGAAGAAGGAATGGGAGGAAAAGAGTTATTGTGGGGATAAAGGACAAGAAAAGAGTTATGGTGAATAGGAGGAAGAAAAGGTCCCAGGATAAACTAAAAATTTCATTTTGACCCTATATTATTTTAAGAAGTACAAAATTCATCCATTATATTTTTTAAACTACAAATTTACCTATAATTTTTAATTGCATTTCTTTTGGATTAAATCCAAACTCATCAAATATGTATATAAAGTTGTAAACCACCAATTTAAAGGGAATTTTTATATATTATTTTAATTATATATCATTAATATGTGTTTATGACGTCATCCAATTCGACCTCCGGTTGAATCCAATCAAACCCATTGATCCCTGACCCTCGAGTTCAGTTGAATCGATACCTGGTCTGAATCAAAAAACATAGGTTACAATTATCAGTAGAAGTTACAATATTAAGTCTGCATGCCTAAAGTTAGTTACAATTATCAGTGTTGTATCTTCTAAGTTACAATTGGGTCTGGTAAGGCAGTTATTAGCATGACAATGCTGTATCTTTGTCTTCTAAGTTACAATTGGGTTGATTAGTCTAGTAAGGCAATTACTAGCATGACAATTATTAGCATGACAAGACTGTATCTTTGTTTAAAGAGGTCAAATCACTGTTGCTAGGAATTATTGCTGATTGTTGATAAATAAAATTCCTTTCTTCCTTTATTATTCTCCCTCTCTTTCTTCCCTTTTTTCTTACAGATTCTTCGTAATTCTTTCCTCTCAAAATCTAATTCAGAACATGTTTGTTGTTTTTGTTTATGTTTGGGTTTAAAGTTTAAAGTTTGATTTTTAGTATTTGATTGTAGAAGTATGGCAAGTTGGTTCAAATTGTGACGAATTTCACACATTGGTGGAAGACTTCCTTGCATAATTGCATGTCATCCTTTAAAGGTGGGCCTTATGTATATCACGAAGAAGCAGTACATGACCCTTTTTATGATCACCCTTTCCAAACAATAGCCCCACCTGCTTGTCTACATGAGATCGAAGGGATTCAAGATAGTGGCTAAGGATGATGGGCTGGTGAAGGAGACCAAACATCTGCCAATCACTCGATTGCCTAATCCGCTTGGCATAGGGTATGAGTTCCCAACTGTATACATGGATGCTTCTTTGGTTTGTTTTGAATGAAAGAAGGATCCACAAGTGCCAAGACAACGTTATATTGGTATAGTTGGAGATGGACTCCTAATCTACTACCCTTTGAGTAGATTAGATTCTGTATATTGCTTTCGCATACCAATCTTTGATAAAAATAAACCAAAGTCAGGAGTCGAAGAAATGAAGGTTGTAGCTATCGTCGCGATGCACGTGTCTAAGAATGAAGAATACTGGCATTATGGAGGCCTCATCATTTGCATAGATTGCTTGGAGGTAAGCAATACGTGCAGTGGCCTCATCGCGTTGAACCTAGTCCACTTTCAGCCTCTTGCAAGAATGTGTGTTTATGGCAAAGAGAAGGACGAAATTGTGTTGCGTCTCGTACATCGAGAACACAATATGCTGGCTTACAAGTTGGTAAATATTGGTCGCGACATGGGTGATTTTTGTGATAAAGTGACTTGGAACTATGTTAAATCGAAGCTGGGCAATGATCTGGGACGATGCTCTTTGAAACCTGCCTTTTGCATGCAACTAGTAAAAAAAAAAAGGGAAAAGGAAGATGAAGGGAAAGAACAGTCCAAGGCAATGTTTTCAGAACCGGACCGGATCGGCCGGTTCGACTGCGAACCGGTAGCATCACCGGTCCGGTCCGGTCCAGCATCAAACCCGGAAGCTAATGAAGAACCGCTAGAAACCGTACGAACCGGACGAACCGTTAAAACCCGTATGAACCGTAAACCGGCGGTTCTTAAATTTGCAAACAATATGACCTCAAATTCAAAACAATAACAAGAATGGAGGCTGGTAGGATTCGAACTCGGGTCTCCATGACCGCATTAAGGTATGCTTACCACTAATATACAACCGAGGGACATGCTCTAGTTGTGTAGAATTTTATTTAACTTAACCAAAAAATAAAATCAGATTAAATAAAAAAAACCCTAGCATTAAGAAAACACATAGCAAGCTAGCAAAGTGCAGCGGCACATTTCTCCTTGGCTTCACTTCCTGACTTCCTCCGTTCCTCGGCTTCTCTAGTTAATCTATTGATTTTTTTCACAGAACGCATTCTAGCGGAAACATCATAAATCAGTCTACCTAAGTCCAAATCTAGAAATTCCAAAACCAGATGAAAGCTAAGAAACAGGGCTACAGTTCATCAGAAGACCTCAACAACCAATTTGGAAGCATTCCTGACCAAAACAACCAAGTACAGAAGCAATTCCCAAATTCGGGTAAAACCAGGACAGCAAGGGAAATTTTGACTTTTCTTATTCTACGCTACTCCAATTGACCTGAAATTTTGTAGGCACCTCTAAAATGTCATTTCCTACAACTTTTATGTTTTAAGCCAAGGCCCATTCGGCCTCTATCTATGAGCTACAAATTCGGGCAGAATGTAACCATTAGAACCCTGATTTTTTCAATTTTCTTCCAAACCAGAAATTGGTTGCAATCATCCACTTTTTCCACCTTCTAGAATCATTATATACCATTTTCAATCATCATAGATAGCCACACAATCATGTTCATATTAAAACAGAAAAATCCCCAAAAATAATAAAACTTCATCACTTCAACCACAAATCAAGAAATAATCCATAATATTGCATCTCATACCACCACCAATCATGAATTGAACATCATTAGAGGAAGGAGAGGGGTCCTTCACAACTTACCTTAGCAATACAAGAGATAGAGCAACTAGCCACCTTAGCTTTCCAAACAACTTCACAAAACACCTCAAGACCACTTAGCAAAGAGATTTTATGGAATGATTTGGAGTTTTATTGGTTGGATTTGAAGATTGAGCAAGAAATAGAAGGAAGAAATTGAGAGCTTTTCTTTCTTTTCCTTTGAGAGAGAGCCGGCCATGAAGCATAGAAATAGGATGATTTTTGGCAATTTTTTTGGTGTTTATTTGGTAAAGGTAAAGGTAAAGTTAAATGGTCAAAGTCCAAGATTAAATCACAAGGTGACACTTGTCACCTTTTCGTTCAAAACTTATCTTTTTGTCTCTCCAATACAAATATCTTAACACCTTGTAAAATAATATCATTTAATACAAAATTCCAACAAGTTGTCAAAAATATAATGCATTTACCGTACTTGCGGTTCCCACGTTCAAAATACGCTCTTAATTTCTCAAAAACTAACCGATACTAGAAAAATCATTTTAAAACTATCTTTGCTCATAAACTTTATCTGGGAAATTTTTCTAATCAAGAAAATGTAGAAAAGGCGGCGATTAAAAAAATAAACCCTAGAAAATTAGAAAATTTCCGGGTTCTCAAACTCATTTTGTTTTTTTTTTTCGGGGCGTCACAGGGATAAGGGTACCCCTCCCATGTTCGGACGAGGAGCCGGAGGGGGACGAAAATCGGGAGAAGGCCAAGGGGCTCAGTCCAGGGGTGGCCCAGTGGGGAGAGGCCAAGGAGAAAGTTTCCAGAGGGGTTCAGGTTCGGCGTCTCGTGGACCTTGTGGGTACTGCGGGAAGCCAAATCATTCTGAGGACAACTGCTGGAAGAAAGGGGGGAAATGTCTGCATTGTGGAAGTGCAGACCACCAACTTGCCACCTGCCCAATTCTAAAACAAGATGGAAAGGGGAGTCAGCAACCACCGAGGATCAACGCTGGACCAGCTAAGGGAGAGGTAACGAAGCCTAAGGTCGCAGCTCGCGTATACTCGTTAGAGCCACAGCAGGTCCCAGATTCCTCTGAGGTCGTAGAAGGTACGATTCCTGTATTCCACCGCTTTGCAAAGGTTTTAGTAGATCCTGGTGCCACTCATTCCTTTGTTAACCCTAGTTTCATGTGTGGCATTAACATAAAACCTGCTAGTTTATCTTACGACTTAGAAGTTAGTACGCCTACGAGGGATCATCGTTTAGTTACTAGTCTGGTGTATAAGGATTGCGAGGTTTGGGTAAGAGAGTAGAAATTGTTAGGGGATTTGATTTGCCTGTCCATAAAGGGGTATGATGTGATTCTGGGCATGGACTGGTTAGCTAGGTATAATGCCCAATTAGATTGTAAAAAGAAGGTGGTGGAGTTTCGCATTCCTGGGAAGGCGACCCTAAGATTAGATATAAGGGGAAGGTTAGCCTCATCCGCTCTGATCTCGGGCATACGGGTTAGGAAACTGCTCAATAGAGGGGCGCAGGGATTTTTGGCCTTTCTAATTAACACCCCGACGGATAAATTGAAGGTGGAGGATGTGCCCATAGTAAGGGAATACCCAGATGTGTTTCCTGACGAGTTAGTATCCTTGCCTCCGAAGAGAGAGGTAGAATTCAAGATCGACCTACTATCGGGAACCTCACTTATCTCAAAAATCCTGTATCGGATGGCCCCTACGGAGCTTAAGGAGCTAAAATTGCAATTATAAGATCTGTTGGAGCGGGGGTTCATTCAGGAGAATGGGTCTCCTTGGGGAGCCCCTGTACTGTTTGTGAAGAAAAAGGATGGTAGTTTGAGGATGTGTATTGACTATCGGGGCCTGAACAATGTCACGATTAAGAATAAATATCCCCTACCCCATTTGATGTATTGTTCGACCAGTTGCAAGGAGCAGTGGTCTTCTCGAAATTGAACCTCCGTCAGGGGTATTATCAGTTGTTGATCCGAAAAGAGGATATTCTGAAAACCGCTTTCAATTCGAGATACAGACACTATGAGTTCGCAATTATGCCCTTCGGACTGACCAATGCCCCTGCCGCCTTCATGGACTTAATGCATAGGGTTTTTAAGCCCTACTTAGATCGATTTGTCATGGTCTTCATTGACGACATTCTGGTCTACCCCAAGACCCGTGAGGAGCATGAGCAGCACCTAAGGATTGTCTTACAAACCCTAAAAGACCATCAATTGTAGGCCAAGTTCAGCAAGTGCAAATTTTGGCTGGAGAAGATTTCTTTTCTAGGGCACGTAATTTCTCAAGAAGGCATTTCGGTTGACTCGACAAAAGTAGAGGCCGTGACTAATTGGAAGAGACCAAAACCCCACCGAGGTTCGTAGCTTTCTAGGTTTAGCGGGGTATTACCGGCATTTTATCAAAGACTTTTCTAAACTAGCTGGTCCTCTAACCAACTTGACGAAGAAGCATGGTCGGTTTATATGGAATGCCAAATGCGATGCGAGTTTTCAGGAATTAAAGACAAGGTTGACCATGGCGCCAGTTCTAGTCCTACCTAATGGAGTTGACGGGTTTGCCGTGTATACCGACGCGTCACGAGAAGGTCTAGGGTGTGTGCTGATTTAGAACCGAAATATGATATCCTTTGCCTATAGGAAGTTAAAACCACATGAGCAGAACTACCCAACCCATGATCTGGAGCTAGCCGCAGTTGTTTTCGCTCTAAAGAAATGGAGGCACTATCTATATGGGGTGACGTTCGAGGTGTATTCAGACCACAAGAGCCTTAAGTACCTCTTTTCACAAAAGGAATTGAATATGAGGCAGCGGCGGTGGATGGAATTTCTGGAGGATTACGACTGCACTATCAACTACCATCGAGGGAAGGCGAACGTGGTAGCCGATGCCTTGAGTCGCAAGGCTCAGGTAGCAGGGTTAATGATCAAAGAGTGGGATTTGTTGGAATCCGTTTGCGAGTGGAAACCTTGCCTTGGGAGTCATAAGGTGGTTTTTAGTAATATTAAGGTAACATCCCCCCTACTGGAGCGGATTAAGGAAGCTCAGAAGGAGGATTCGATGGTGCGAAAATGGGGAGAGAAGGTAGGAAAAGGGGAATCAACCGATTTCAACTTTAGTCCTAAGGGTATTTTAAGATACCGGAACCAAGTGGTGGTGCCTAAGGATGAAGCATTGAAAACGGAGATCTTAGAGGAAGCCCATCGGTCCAAGTATACGATCCATCCGGGCAGTAGCAAGATATATCAGGATCTAAAAGGAGCCTATTGGTGGGACAATATGAAGAAGGAAATCGCTCTGTATGTGCAGAAATGTCTCGTTTGCCAACAAGTTAAGCGGAGCACCAAAAATCATCAGGCTTACTACAACCCCTTGAGATACCCGAATGGAAGTGGGAGAAGTTACCATGGACTTCGTTTCAGGGCTGCCACGAACACAGCGAGGACATGATGCCGTGTGGGTAATCGTTGATCGATTAACCAAATCGGCCCATTTCTTGCCGGTAAACATGAAGTATTCCATGGACAAATTGGCTCAGCGTGTACATGGACGAGATTGTAAGGTTGCATGGCGTTCCAGTAAGCATTGTGTCAGACCGAGATCCCCGCTTCGTATCTAGGTTTGGCAGAAGTTCCAAGAGACTCTGGGGACTAAACTCAATCTAAGCACCACCTATCACCCTCAGACGAAAGGGCAATCAGAACGAACCATCCAAACTCTCGAGGATATGTTAAGAACCTGCATTCTGGATTTTGGAGGTAACTGGGCATGACCTTGGTAGAGTTCGCGTACAATAATAGCTACCATTCGTCGAT